GCCACCATGCCACCCAACCCATCCCTTCTCAGCCGGACCACGAAGAAGACAAATAGTCAGCGCCACCCCAATGAATGCCATATTGACACTTCCCGACAGAATCCACCCCCCTTGACTGTAGAGACGATTCCCAACAGAAGTACCCATAAGCTGACCACAGAACACGCCCAGCATGTATCCCGTATTGATCCGATTCCGCGCCTTGGGCGCAACACTGTAGATCGCAACACGGTTGGCAACTTGCGTCATCTGTAGACCGAAATCCTGCAGCGCAGCCTGGATGATTGGGCCCGCGACAGTATATGTGCCTGTATAGGTACCGACGCTGACGCCGGTGATCAGGATGCCGAAACTGACGAGAATGGAGAACTGCGGCACGAATTTGTCGATCATGTAGCGTGAGAAGAGTGGGCCTAGGAACATAGGTGTAAGACCTGCTAGAGAGAATAGTCCGATTGTCAGGGTTGGGTAGTTGTAGGGATCGCCGGATAGGAGGAAGGTGAGTGTTGTCCAGAAACTGGTGAATGTGGCCGAGAGGAAAAATCCCATGAGAGTTGCCTGAACAAGCACTGGGGATTTCCAGTAGTATCCGATGATGGAATATAGGATCTTGAAGTAGGAAATGTTGGTGTTTGTAGATGGATAGTCCGGCATGAACAGCCACAGAAGGGCGAAAATGAGGAATTGGAGGCCTAGTGATAGCCAATAGATATTTCGCCAGTACGAGTATTCTGCGACTATACCGGAGAGCAGGCGGGCAAAGAGAAGGCCCAGGACGAGTCCCGAAGACACGATTGATAGGGCTGTTGCGCGACGAGCTGGGGGGACCAGATCTCCGACGAGAGGGAGCATGACTTGCTGCATTGATAATTAGTTTTTTTTGTTTAGGCCAGAGCCCCGGATATGCTTGCTTGTAACCACTTACTGGAGTAACAGTTGTGACCGAAGATAGATAACTCAGAACAAGGAATACCTCGAATGACTTGGTGATACAGACACCAACCCACAATGCCGCAGTAACAAGCGTCAAGAGCAATACGAAGTGCCTCCTCCGAACTAAGTCCCCAAGAGGACAAAGAAGGATTAATCCCGTCGCATATCCAGCTTGGCTGCAGGTCGGGATCAGTGAGGCTCGCTCATGCGAGACATCGAAGAATTGAGCAAGAATATCCAGAATGGGATGCGAATAGTATAGATTGGCGACCTGCATGGCCATATTAGCAATTGCTATGGCATATTTTGCTATCTCTCAGTCCTATACCGTGAAAGTTGCCGAGAATGCGAACAGGATATTCAAAGGCAAGCCGAATTTGATCGGATTCTCTGTATTCCATCGACATCGCGGCGGTGTCCATGAAACAGCATCAATAAAACGTCTCCAATACTTGCGCTTCCCTATTGACTCTTCTGCCGTGCTTTGGACATTGACATCATGGTCTTTTTCGTCTTCATCAAACCCCTGGGCTGCGGGAGAATTGGATTGCGCCGATGTGATCGGCAATAGTTCTGCAGAACCTTCAATTTGAGAGCTGGAATGGTTTCCGACCCTTTGGGTGCTATCCGCAGTCATTCTCTAGGGTTTAGAATCTTATGTGGCTGTATTCTCTTCTCTATATCAATGACTCGATGACATCAACGAGGCCGAAAGACACGAGCATTAGGTTTAAGGTAAATTTATGCGAGGTAGGGCCGAACCGACTCGAAAGAATTATAACTTCGGCCTGCAAAGTCATTTTTGAGCTAGTAATATGCCACAGTGGTAAGGCGTTAAGGCGTATATGTTGGGATGTTGATTAGCAAGCATTTTAATTTCAATTGCGTTTCCGCTTGCATTTCCGCACTCCCCACATTCTTGTCAACTAGGGTTAGTTCAAACCCGCTCAACTTCTTTGTTCCCCCCGTTCAATGTTTCCACTGACTAAAACGATGCCGAACTGACTCCTCTCAAACCTGAGTCCCCTCCCTTTCGCCCAGCCAGGCGAGAACAAATGCAACCCTATAATCTCTGCAGCGAAATCCCGTTATGGAATAAAGGAGAGGTATGCAGCTGTGAGCTCATTCTCTTTAGAATATGTTGGTCAAGGTCTTGAAGTAATGACATCAAGAGAAATACTCTCATCTTGGGTGTGATAAAACCCAACGTTAAAATTTCTATCTACAGAAGTACATGCAGTAACTCCGTGCATCAAAGCGAAATTCACAGGTCCTGGGTTTACATCTAGAATATGGGGACCTGTGGGATTGAGGCCGAAAATGACCGCTTTTGAGGCCAGAAACGGCTCCCTTTCTACCCGTAACTTTGGACGTCCAGCCCCCCCTTGACTGCCCACTGCCCCGTAACACCTCTATTCTGCACCCGCCTAGCACTTTTAGTCATCCTCCTGTCCTAACTAATGTTGGCGCTCGACTTGCACAATTGTTCCCCTCGTTTCCACTGGCGACCAAAACGACGCCGAAAATGGCTCCCAGTCAGCTGAATTCAAGTCACTCCCCTTTTCGCCCGGTCCGTTTGAGCGCCTATAAGATACTTCGCCTTCCCTCCCCTCCTGTGTCCTTGCAACTCCCATTCTCTTATCTTCGTTACCCACGCCTCGAGACGACCTCGACTTTGTCATTTCCTATAACATAAGTTTCCTACCACAATCTCTGTTCAGCATACCTCTATGGTACCTGCGCCTGTATATCCGGCTCAAACCGATGAGCACAAATACTAGACCGATCCCATTCTTTACAAAGAAACTCGAGCTAGACTGGAATATTTTCGCAGTCTTAGATAGCTCCCTCTAAACTTCAAGCTAAAGACGCTGCTAGGTATTGCTGTCATCGAACGCTACTAGCGAAAGTAAGTGTATAATTACTCGAAATAAGCCTAGTAATTAGGAAATAATAAAGGAAACTGGATTTTACATTCAATCGAACGAGGACTATGTGGATTATCTCCTTTTGGAAGATCAGACGATTTATATGAATTTCTTTAAGTAGATATCCAAAATATCATGAGAGAAACTACTTCAGTTATATGATAAATACTGGTGCCGCCTTTACTAATACTTCGAGCTATTCGCCCGCCGCCGCGTCGGTAAGAATGTTTGTAAATAGATATAACAAGTAACTAAGTAATATCCCTTATATCCCTAATAGAGTATTCTAATTTAAAAAGTTTCTCATAGGTATCTTTCCAGCTGAGTGTAGAATACCCCAACGAATAAAGGATAAAAACACTCTAGATATAGATGCTTTTAGTATGATTTACCGGTATTACTAGGTCCATTCGAGATTCTTTCGTTATAGGAGTATGATTATTTAGTTTACTATAGTCTAGCTCTGGTCCGCTATTATAGGCACGCGACCTAGCGTCTTACTTCCTTAAGACACTTCGTCGCCGGGTAATCCAGTTTTAGGCAAACGTAAATGGGATAACACCTTCTAGAGTGATCTTCTAAAGCATATTTCCCTAAAGATCTTCTAGACTCGGTCTACTATCGTAATATTAAACTTTTCTACTTGAAAGACCCTCAAAGTAAACGTGATGTGCTCTGTGCCATTATCGAGTTTCGCAATCTTAAAGGTCGACCGGAAGGTACGGACCCTCCAATTAAACGGACGCACCGGGAGAAATAATCCCAAGACAATGAAAACAAACTCCAAAGATCCATTTCCAGCCAAAATGCCCGAAAACCGTCGAATTCTAGAATGGATATCGCTCAAAGATACACCCAATGGTGTCATTCCCAATAGCGATGAAATTTTTGCCGTCCTCCAAGAGATACAAAAACTCCAAGAGTGCACCGGTATCGCCCGAGGCCGTCCGCAGGAGCTGAGGAATATTGAGTGGTTGATTATTGGTACGCAGTATTACACTATTGACTTGAAAGATGCTTGCTATATCGTCCTTTAAATGTCCAAAAATTAATCAAATACTAGAGTGGAGAGGCAGCAGAGACAGGGAAGAGTTTTGTACGTCGGAACTTTATCTCCGATTAGAGGAAGCTCTTGCAACTCGCTCATGGAGCCGAGAAGTTTCCTGCCTGCTCCCGGATAGGGGGCACATCATAGCAGCCCACCCGATGTCTCCTCCTATGCTTTATGAGGTCCTGACAATCTACTTCCCTGTAGACTTGGATCCAGCGACTATTTCCTCTCTTGAAAAGTTTAGCGTGTTACCCTGCTGGCACATCGATGGTGAAGACCCTGTTAAGTATCCCTCGGCGGCGCTCAAGGCTCAAACTCCTGTGACGTGGAAAGAGGGCACTTGTGAGTACCAGGGACAAACTGCCAGGCGGTTTGTTTACTTCATCAAATTTGTCAACGAGGAAGGAGAACGAATCTATAAAGAAAAAGTGAGGTATGATCCAGGCGGGAGAACACCTCTGGATATCATGTCATATTTCTTTGGCCAGCTGGAAGATCTTGGGATGATCGGATATGAACCGCGGCATGTTGAATTTGTGGAGATTGTTCACTATGCACCGGAAAACTACGTGTCAGAGCCTCTACCAACTCAACCGATGGAATGCCCGCCACATAATATAGCAGACCTCGAAGGTGATTGCGATGACCTGTAGTAGGAAGGAAATGATAGAGCAGGCTTCACAGTTTTCCTTCAAATGTGCTGAAAATGACCGATGGCCTCTTGAATGACCTCATTTTAACTTGATTTAAGATTACTCGGGCACATCAAATAAGCCCAGGAAACGTATCGTAGGTCACTAGGTAGCGCATTTTGCTCCTTGCATTCCCGGGAGAAAGACAGAGAACCCTGAAGAGGACCTCGCGACGCAAATAGACGAATAAACAAAGGTCATATCTCGACACGTAGGAAGGTAGATATATTAAGAGCAGATCAACAAAGCTTCACATCCATCAAGCCAGCGCGCATTTTATAACACTGCCTCAGGTACGCCTGAGAAGTTCGTGAACGAACTCCAGCTTCAACATCGACTTATAGCGCCTCGAATCATCTTTGCGAGTGATCCCCATACCTAGGTACCAAATCATGCTTACTTCCGATCACCTTGCAATCCTGCCAATACACGGGGGAATAGCGTACGCCAATTTGTCTTTCGCATAATAGGCATATCAGTGGTTGTTTCGTTGTTCGATCGCCTAGTGACAGTTGAAGTGCTGGTGCTCTGAGCGCAGATCATTCGAGACCAGTCACATTGATCGAGATACATAGCGGTAGCAAACCATGCATAGGAATCAGCATTCTTGATGGCTTTCGTCTTGGATTCAATGGCAAGTCGAGCCACGTTTGTAGGGTAGTAGGCCTTAACCCCGCTGGCGATGGTCTCATCGGTGACAACTTTAACAAGCATCATGAGTATCAGTTACGAGATTGAAGATCGGACCAAAAGCAGAAGCTCAACTCACCATGTTTTGTGACCAGGTGTGCTATCTCATGCATCATCGTACCCGGCACTGAACCAGCTGCACGAAGTGGTGTATTGTCGGCAATGATTTTCTCCTTGGAGCGCCAAGCACTAAGAGAATCCTTTCTCTTAGGCTGTGCGAAGATGTATGGGCACATGGTAATTGTGTAGACCTCCTGGGCATCGGAGGCGACGGTGAACCCTAATGTTCTCGCGGTGTCGGTATAAACACAACCCGCCCCGGTGCCCAGAAACTTCTTGTACCAAGGAGACCACCAGGCCCATGTGGTAGCACCTCCTAGTGATCGTCATGTCAGATTTGGTTTGTAGAAGGAATTCGGCTTAATATAGTCCGTTATTAGATGAGCTCACCTGACGCCTGCAAGATTGTTTTGCCATTCATTTGCCCATCAGACCCGTAGTCCATCTCCGTTCTCCATCGCCAGCTATCGTCACAAAAGAAACTCGGCGAGGGGATCGTGTCATCTTCTGTGCTGGTCGAGAAAGCAATGATTTGTTCAAAAATATCTAGCAGAAATGTCAGCACTTTTCTTCACCTCTACTCAATGATCGATAGAGCGACAGGACCCTGGCAGGGAGTTATGCTAGGGATCCTGTCTTCTACTATCATCGGAGAATGGATATCAAAGCCCACTAACATTTAACGTATTCGAATTGTGCCGAATCAGTGACCGAAACCGTGGTAGGGGACGATGAATCAGGCTTTATCCCAAAAAATGTTTCTACGGATGCGCGCACCGTCGCACTAGTAGCATAAGTATTCAAGGAATCCAAGGCTACCTAGGCGAAGTCGATTGCCTCGGTATAGATGGCACTGAAATCCGCATCATTGCCATAGCAGGTGCCACCGTAGGTACCACTTCCGGATCTTGTAACGGGGCCTTGACCTTTCTCAACACGAAAGCGACTAGTGATATCCAACGCACAGGATTGCCCAATGAGCATCAAAATCCCTATCCAACCAAGCACCCAGTGTGCGGAATCTTGCAGGTAAACCCTCATCGAGCAGAATTTTCAAAAGGTTCTCTTTGCAACAAGCAGGAACTAAAGACACAGCTAACCTCAAGACGCAGCTAGCAAAATGAGAGCCAGCAGAATTGCGAAAAGAAGAAAAAGGAAAGTGAACGACGAGAACAAAATTGAAGATCTTAGAATGGCTTCATGTATGGTGAAAAGAGCGGAAAAAAGAAACGAGTGTCTTGTATAGGAACAAAATAAAGACAAATGGAAGGGAGTGGCTAGAGACAGTATATCTCATCTGAGCTGGAATATAGATGAGTCTTATATCGCGCACCAAGACCCCAAAACTCCATCAAGTTCCCAATTGGTTGAAAGCCAGAAATCGAGCTAACCTCATGATGAGTTAGCGAAGACTAGAAAACAGAAAGCAGCATGACAATTTCACATGAAACCACGGAGAGCAAGGATCCTTTTCCACATCACCGTTCACGATGGCACGAGATACCCGCCTAGTATAGTTCGTGCATGCAAGTAAATGTTATAGACCCGCTCTCACTCAATCTCTCCTCTGTTCTTGGGCTTGCATCAAGAAGAGGTTAGACCTGAAAGGGGACGCGACTGTTTTATTTACTTAAACTGAGCCTAATAGCTCGCTTTCTGATTGGCTTGGATCCACTGATTACTGTGCCGTTACGGCTCAGCTATTGGCCGGAGTAGAACAAAGATTAGTAGAAAAATGTACTATGATTCGTCCCAGTAACTGCTTCTTTGTGGCTGCTGTAATGCTTTAGGGGAGATGATTCTTATTATACTGTCTATTCAAAGAGCGTCCCGAGATGGTCTCAAGGTCTTTGTAATTTAGAGAGCTGTGGTCGGCAATCGATTTGTTGGAAAGGGGGGGAGTCATACCTCGTAACAAGTACTAGCTCCTCCTCGAACCAGTTTTCTATAGTAACGCCGCAGAATCCCTGTCACTGTTTTCGAAGTACTAATTTATCTATTACGTATCAAGGATCATGCTCTTCTTCCTAGAGGCTACGAGTGGTCTGGGATCAGTACTTAAAGCTCTAGGGGTATGTTCTTGATTTGATAAACGAGCGGCTAAAATGGATCAATCCGTAAGTTCAAGCAGCGGGTAACAAATTAGGCTCGGAAAGTGGTTTTATACTATACACAAGACCTTTATAGAGATCTTTATTAGAATAGGATGATACAATGCGCGATATAGCCAGCACACTCAGCAAAACGAAGCGGGTTACCAGCCGCCAGATACAGTGTATGCCCCGAGAATGAAAGGCTCGGATGCTAGTGCTGGCTAGGTAGAAACGGATGGGCTGGCGCGGATCTATCCGGAGATGACCGAAGATATAATCTTTCTTCTACCAGGAGTAGACAATCTTAACCAGATCCTGTAATCTAACCCATTGCAGCCGAGGACGCTAGACCATACCAGTTTCACAGCCCATAACAACAATTCCCGCAGTTACAGTCTCGCATTAACCACAAGATGCAGTATCGATCAAGGTCTAGGGCGTGTACGTCATTTTTGCTATTAGCTAATATGACCGAGCTGTGATTTCAAGTTTTTACCGACTAGGTAGAGATGGACCGGAGAGACCGACGATAACGATAACTGGGCGTTTGGCCAGGCGACTGGGAGCCTTTCTATGAAGCCGGGCTGTGCAATGTAACCTTAGGTAGGGCGGCGGGAGAGGGATATACAGTATCGAGGGTATACTGGTACTTTGTAGATTTAAAAGAGGCCCGCGGAATCAGAGACGAAAAAGCGCAGTAGCAGAGGGAGACCTAGATCTCTTTGTAGCAAGGTGCTCAGTCACTGCCCTAGGGAAGGAATAGGATTATCGACACGAAAGAATAGGATGCTATATCATCGCAGTGGTTACGCTTCTGGGTGATAGGCATTGCAAGCTGGATGTCGGATCGAGCGGTATCTCCGGTAAATATGAAAGGGGCAGTGCGTCGGGCTGAAAGTAAATGCGCAGTAGTCGGTGGGGGCCAGAGTAGAAGAAAGTGGGCGGCGATGAGTGCAAGATAGAGGGGTAGGAAGAATGAAAAAGCGAGAGAGGGGGAGGAAGACGGGTCTTTTATGTTGGAGGGCATTGAAGGGAGGTTATAAGACAGTGTACTGTGGCGCTAAACCGGAAAAGGCAAAACTAACCGCATTCAGTAATTCACAGGTCCGCCCTTTACATTCCCTATCTTGATATTGCATTCTCGTGAGGGTTGGTTGAATATAATGGCTTATGAATTAACTTGGTAGTCTTGATTTTGAGGCTTTAACTCATATAAATACATTATAAGTAATAGACAGTCTGGAAAGCAGACATGAACTTATATCAAATGACAAGCCATTTTTCTGTAACAGCCTTAGCCGTCTGTGCATTGCCGCTGAGAACGTGAATACACTGCAGCGCATAAGCGGCCTCGCGGGAGAAATCCTCAACGAAAGGCTGACCAGTAGGCGATGAAGTCTTTTGGTGTTGGCCATCATCACCCATAACCACATCAGCACCATCTGTTGCAGGTGTTGGTTCTTGAAGAGACTTTTGCTTAGCCTGTTCCTGGATCTGCTCGCCGAGCTTTAACACCCGGTCGTACCCTTCGACAGCAAGGTGGGCCAGACCAAGCGAGTGCCAGACACGAGCGAAATTGAATTCCATTTCTTGTTTTTCAGCTGGAAGAGTTCCCGGCTTCTGCCGAACTAGCCGGTATTCATGCATGAATGACAGTCCTTGCATGATAAGGTAGTGGCGATTCTCGGACTGTCGTTTGAGAGAGTGATGGATGAATGAGAGTGCGATGGAGAGGAGGACGGCCGGGTTTTGGTCATCTATGGCGTATGCTCGGAAGAAATAGTTCAGGGCGGGATAGAAACTGTTTCCAGAGTACAGCATGTGGCCATAGAGCACAAGAAGAGCAATATCTAACTCTTTCGCAGCGATAGGCTCACCGGCTTCATCCCGTGTGGATAGAGTGGCGCGCTCTTTCCAGACAGAATGCCGAATGGGTCGAGGCGTATCTTGTGGCATCGTAAAGTCTATTGCCTTAATTTGACGAAGCATAAATTTCATGTTTCCGGAGGAATGGAAAAGGGATCGGTGAGGGTCGCCACATAGGTGGCCCAGCATAGAGAAGAGTCGATAAGTATCAGTGACAAACTGGTATTCTTTGATAAACCAACGGGCTTCGTTAGCCAGTGTCTCTTCATCTCGTGCGCGGAGAGCGCATGCTGTAAAAGTGTTAGTGGATAACCACTTAGTAGTGAATTGAATGAACTCACTGAACCAACAAACATGTATCAGTCGGGACTTTGGCTTAGAGTGCAACCAGATGCTTGCAATCGCCGCAGAATCAAGGGTTTCATAGGCCTCTTCTGGTTCGCCTTGTTCTACTACGAGTAAAGCATACTGCAGGAATATGTCAAGCCACTCATCAAATGGTATTCCATGGTAGTCGGTGGGAATGGCGCCCTGCAAGGGCTCCTCCGAGAAATCTCCTTAATATAACATTAGCATGGGGTGTGGATGGAGGATGGACTCGGGTGACATACCCATGGTTTCTTGAAGACGGCCCGCCATTTGCTGCATTTCATCCATCATTGTGCCATTTTTGGTCTGGTTCTTGGATTTGACACCAGTCGAATATCCCCTGAAAGCAATACTTCGATCCATTGGATAGAATGCCCGATTGTTCCGGAAATCTCGCAATAGAGCATCAGCAATGTCCAGCCAATCTTCAATGGCTAGAGGGACACCGTCTTTGACTTGGGGATTCAACTCCAACAACTTCGCGTACAAGAATTGAATATCCTCAGTCCGAGTACCTTCGCCAGCTTGCGTCCGTCCTTTGCCAGGAGCCGAAGGAGCTGCGTTCATAAGTGGTGCTGTATTTGTCGGTTTGGGTGCAATTGACCGGAGGGGTTCTGATTCAGCCATCTTGAATTCTATGGCAAGCTGTTCAAGTCTGGTGTCCTTTCTTCTTCCGCGGCTACGATTTTCCTGCCGGCCGATCAAGACTGCCTCGCCGACATATTTCATAGCTTGTTCGCTCATCCCGAGGCTCTCATATAGCTTCGCTAGTAGTACTCGCGACTCCATATGACCGGCATCGTGTTCAGCGACGAGTAGATAACAGCTTTCAGCATCTTCCATCTTGCCTAACTGCATGCAGCAGTCAGCCATGGCCATAAAGAAGCTGATGTCGGCATGTTCGGCGGTCTGCTGGATGGGCGTATAGTACCGGAGGGCTTCTTCGAAGAGCCCGGCTTGTTTTAGAGCATCTGCCACTTCCCTGAAAAGATCACCATAGTCGAAAATTCGGGCACCTTCGGAGTCGTCTTCTGGGTTAAGCCATTCAAAGTGATGCTGATTGTATTAGTACTTTTATTCAATCATTATCGTGATCCGGGATCAAACTCACCAATGCCTCGTTGTGATACTTGTCGCCCAATTTCAGGCGGAAAACACCCATTTTTATCCGAAGCTCCAGCGGAAGACCAAGCCCATATGACTCTCGAGGCCACTGATCGGGCAGAAAACCATCGGTTTTGATCCGTCGTGGCGAATCATCAGCGTCCCATTCTCTGTCGTCATCCTCGTGGCCATCCCATACTGAATCTTCTCCGCGACTAAGAAGCCAACGTGCAAGTATTCTCAAAGAGTTGAGTCCTTCTTCGGGTTGATTGAGATAGCCAAAAAGTTCAACATAGATATTGAGATCCGACCAGGTGAAATCAGAGGCTTCGGGGTCGATAGATAGGTAGTGATCAATGCTGTCCGCATAATAATCCACTGCCTTTTGTACGTCATTGAGATCAATGTACGTCTCTGCAAGATGGCGCAGTGCTCTGGCACTGTGTGGGCAATCCTTGAGTAATCTCTCATACTCCGCTGCGGCTCGGCCATTGTGACCCAGCTCACGATAGATCGCTGCTCTCTGGAACCGAATATTGGTGTTGCCGGGGCTGACTTCGAGGATACGGCTGTAGCAATAAGCTACATCATGCAATGCGGACTGCCGGTTCTCTCCGGCGCGATCCAAGATGAGTCGAGCAACTTTGACCCAGACACCGGGATCTTTCGGCCTCGTATGAGCTCCGTTGAATAGAGCTGCTAGGGCTTTATCATTTTCTCCTTGTGCGAGGAAGATTTCCGAGAGCAAAGAATGGGCAGCAAACATTTCAGGATTAATCTGAATTGCTTGCATCACCAGATCAATGGCCCGTTCGTAGTCTCCATCAATGAAGGCAGAGGTAGCCCCCGAATGAAGATGTTTGAATTCCGGACTGGGCTCCAAGGGTTTGCGTGGTCCTCTTTTGATGCCCTTTCCACCGCGAGCGCCCCATCTTCCGGAAAAGCGACCACCGCCACGACGGCGGCGCCTGCTGGCGGCTGAATGATCATCGTCATCATCCTCTGCTGGTTCATCTTCATCAGACTCACTAGTATCATGTTAATTAAAACCGGAGATATGATGTCTTAACTTACGTACCTCTCACTTTCGTCTCCGGATAAGGTAAAGTCCTCGTCCGACACGGCTCGCTCGCCAGGCACAGGAGGATACGATACTGGGGGATACCCCTGGTTGTCATATTCATCCGGGTAGAATCCATCAACCTCTTGCTCTTCTTCGACTTCGCCTTGGTCTTCGTTGAGATCTTGAGGATATTGATTGATGCTTTGCCGTTGGGTTTGTGGGTTTTGGTCTCCAAACAAACGAGGATCAATCACTGAGGCAAGCATGTCGCCAACGTCAAAAGATTGATCATTTTGCCATGGATAGCGAACAGTTTCATCGATATCTGGATACTCCGACTGCCCCTCCTGCATCTCCTCATCCAGAGGAATCCCGTCCGGGTAATGCTGAGAACTCATAGCCAGTGACGATTGAAATTTCAATAGGAAGTGTTTTCCACTGCCGATAAGGCTATAGTTTGAGACAATTACCAGAAACGTGGACCATCGAGGAAGCTCATTATCAGTATAGTTGGTGCGCGCTGAATCTCAGGTCTGGGCTCGGCAGATATTCATAGTAACGTCTCCACTAGGCTGAAGAAAATATTCGGATTTGACCACGAGGAGCAGAATTCCCAGGAAAGAGTAGAAAATAGAGGTCCCTCAAGATTCAGAATCAAGAGATATGGAGAAGTCAAGAAAGAATGTCGACCCTGAGGTTCTCCTCGGCGAACCCGTGATTTCGCGGCCTGAAACAGAAAAGCCTCTTCACCAAACTTCTTCATCCCCAACTTTCCTCATCTTCCTCTCCTCTCCTCTCTCTCCACCTAACCTCTTCTCTTCCCCCTTTTTCTTTCCTTTTCCTCTTTCTTTGGGACTGGCTTGACTGTGTTTGACACACTATTGCTTCAAGTCTCAATTTCCTTTCGTTCCAGGCCTTAATTTTTTCTATCTCGAATTTCCGAGGTGCAGCCCACTGGACTGGTCTGTGCCATCATCTTTAACGAGAGATCTAGATCTTTTCAGCGTCGTCTGTTACCTTAGGATCTTAGCCTGGATCCTAGTTGAAGGTTATTTTTTTGATTTTATTTGTTACGCAAACTCAGCAGGTCCTGCAGGTGTTTTGCAGTAATCATTTCCCCCACTGTATTTACTAGTCATCCTCTCAACACGTCGCCCTAAACCATGGCCAGTCATATCATTGGCAATCGCAACAGCACTCCTGAAGCATCGAATTCAACTCTCCGTCCTCCATCCTCGTCGCGAAACCTCGGATCGCACCAGCTGCGGGCGTCGGCAGACATGTCCGGGTTTCCTTCGCCGCTGTCCGCCCGAAGCATCCGTCCATCATCGGAGGTCTTTTTCAACCAACAAACCCAAGGTCAGAATGCGACAGAAGATGCTTTGGACCGTGCCGCTCAACAATGGCTTGCGGACATTGATCAGTACGAAACTACATTGGAAGAAATGGCAGCTGCCACGCTTGATCAGGACTTTAAGGATGAACTCAGTGCCATCGAGCAATGGTTCCGTGTTCTGAGTGAAGCCGAGAGAACTGCGGCCCTATATGCCTTGCTGCAGCAGACCACTCAGGTGCAGATCCGGTTTTTCATTCAGGTCCTGCAGCAAATGTCTCAGGGTCACCCGATGTCGGGCCTGCTCTCCCCTGCCAATTTTGGCGAAAAGGGTATGACAAATTGCCCACACTACCTTTTGAGATGTAACTAACCTACTTTTCGTCTTGTAGATGCCATGTCTAGCCGTCTGAGCGACGCTATGTCGAAGCTTAATATGGACACCTCTCGGAACTCCCTCGGACGACCCCCGCCATCCCCTGGCGCGAAGCGCAACTCTGTCCTCGACCCTTCTACCATCAATGCGATGTTCCCGGATGCTGCTGCAGCCATTGCGAAGAAGAAGGCCGAGTTCACCCAGCAAACCGGCAATGCACCTCCATCGAACCGCAATAGCGCAGTCTTCGATCGTGCCTCTTTCGTGGCCCCCACCATATCGGCGCCTGACAACAATTCCGACGGCCTTGGTCAACAACCCGGCTCTCCGTGGGCTCAGCGTGGTGTTTCAGACACGCAGCCTCCGATCGCTCGGCCCAAGTCATCCTCTGGACACCAGCCTATGGGCCAGTTCAGCCAGCCCTCGGGCATGCGCTCCCCTCTGCCTCAGACTGCAAATATTCCCGCCCCCGACATAGAGCCCCCTTTGCTTTCGCCATACAATGTGGGCAACCACAGCTGGGCGTCAATGACCAACACTCCGATGACTGCGACTTTCGGTCAACAATCGCACCAGAACTCCAACACCCACGCAGATATGGTGGCTAATGCCACGGCAATGAAGCTGGCAGCTTTGTCGACGGTAAACAACCGCATCGCTCTGGATGACGCGCGCAAGTACCGCCGTGCTCGCTCCAATGATGGCCAGGGTAAGAACTCGCATGGAAACCCGATTCTCTCCCAGGGCTTGGCTAGCCCAGGCCTGGGTGGACAGCACTTGATGGCCGGTCAGCTTCTCAACAATCAGCAGCTGGCAGCCCTGCAGGCCCAACAACAGGCGGCCATGGCCGGTAGACGGTCTCGCCCAACATCGCCCGGCATTGCCATGCACGGTGGTGGCTTGACCCCGATGGGCTTCACGTCACCGCAGAACAATGGATTTTTGGCCGCTTATGATCCCAACAACCCTCTTATGGGTAATGGCTTGGGCTCTCTGAACATTGGGCAGTTTGGTCTCGGTAGTGAAGGCTACCTGTCAGACCACTCGGAGGTTACACGAGGCCGCTCTCCGCGGGGTCGCAGAGGCAGCTCAAAGCCGCCCGAGGACCCCACAGACCCGGCTCTTCTGAAGGATATCCCCAGCTGGCTGCGGTCCCTCAGGCTGCATAAGTATACCGACAACCTGAAGGACCTGCAATGGACGGAACTGGTCGACCTGGATGATAAGGCCCTGGAAGATCGCGGTGTCAATGCTTTGGGTGCACGTAACAAAATGCTAAAGGTAAGCGTTGCTTGTTATTTAATTCTGACCAGCCACTAACGTTTTTCCATCAGGTCTTTGAGCAGGTCAAGGAGGCCCGTGTCGATGGCAAATTCGAAAATCTGGTTTAATGTGATATTTGAATTTAAGTCAGCGACATCATGGAACTGGCATTTTCTTTCTGCTATGTTTGCAGCATAATCAAGGATATGGGGATTTGGAATGTATCAAACGCTGTGATGTGAACGGATTCATGAGAAAGGCTCGGCATTATTGAACATTGGATTGGGTGGTTAATAGTAGATATGAACATGAGTGATTTGATTTACGTTAAAATACTTTCTTAATTAGTTATGCTGTTGAATGTAGTGTAGTTAATACTTACTCCGTACTCGTCTGAAGCATTTGAATAAAAAGACCATGTGGTCCGTGCACTTCTAGAAACTCGCTGTCACTTCCGACCTCCATCAGTTCAAGCCGAAAGCTGCTGTGACCACCCCTCAACGAGACTATTTCCCGGTGCAACAATTTCATCACTATTGAAGAGCAAAAGGCCTGTGATCTTAGTCAAGCCCAGCAAACTTCCGCTCAAGACGTGATCACTACCGGCAACGAACACCTAGAGCCATAGCTCAACCTCTCAATCCAGACATCAACTACAACAAATCGGCGAATAAAAAGACACCAAACCAGCCAAAATGGCACCCACAAAGCAGGAACTCTCCCTGCTAATCACCCCTCTTGTACCTGAGGCTGTCCAGCACAACAACCGCGTATGACTATCCCACATCCCACCCAACCGCCCCTATCCCGCACCACATGCATATCATATCCCCTACACCGATATCAGACCGCATCTGTATCCTCCATTTTAAATGTTACACCCAACTAACTACCCGGGAAATAGGTCCTCTCCTCCCTCCACAGCCTAACCTCCTTCCTCCTCGGCCTGTCCGCCGGGATTCTAGCCCTCCAATCAGGCTACGGATTCGCCTTCTACTTCCTCGGCACGATCCTGGTATCAGGGCTCTTCCATGCGGTTCTGATTCACCGCTCCGGTGGTGCAGGTGCCGGCTCGTTCTTCCCCGGTAGTACCCCTGGGGAGATCGAGGGTGTTATTGAAATGAATGAGAAGAGCAAGGCTGTCCGCATGCAGCTTGCTGGCAAGGCTGGTCCGAGGAAGATTATCCGCAAAGGCGCTTGGCGGGATGTTTGGTTTGGTGGCGGTGTTATGAGTGAGGCGCTTAGCGGGTTTGTTCTTGGGTGGGCTGGTGTTGGGGGTGTTTTGAGGTGAAAAGAGTATCAGCTTCTAGGATCCTGGATAAAGCTGCGGGTGGATTTGTTTGGGTGATGTTTATGGGGGCTGTATATGCTCTGTACGAATTGAATTGTTCTATGCTTTTAATTCCTACTTGGAGACTTTTGTCTTCCATTGGTTTTGCCTCCTAAAGCATGCGGAAAACCGACTTGAAACAATACATTGCCATCACCTCTGATGGGCAGATATCAAAGGCCAAGACTATAGTCCAAAGTCTTCAGCACATGTACAGATTGTTTTGAAAAGCAGCTAAAGACCCAAAAATACACCGAGTGCTGGTTTATTACTCCTCATTCTCCGCAACCTCATCAACAACCTTCTCAAACTCCTCTAACACCTCTTTAGAAACACCATAGGTATACTCCACCGAAGGAAAAGCCCTACTCTTAACCTCCTCCCTATAAGCCTCAATCCCCCTCCTCGCCTCCCCCCAAACATCCGCATACGTCTTAACAAACTTCGGCAAGAACCTCCCCTCAGGGAAATTCCCTAACATATCAACCTGCACAAGCACCTGTCCAGAACACCCATTCCCAGACCCAATCCCAATAGTCGGCACGCTCAGTCGCCGCGTAATAATACCCGCAATCTCAGGCGGCACAGCCTCAATAAGAACCATACAAGCACCGGCTTTCTGCACAGCCAATGCATCCCGCAGCAGTTTCACAGCGCCCGCGGCTGACTTGCCCTGCACCCGGAACCCACCCAGCGAGTGCTGCCGCTGCGGCGTTAGCCCGATGTGCGCCATGACGGGGATCCCCGCTTGTGAGATCTTGCGGATCGTAGACGCCATCTCCGCCCCGCCTTCGAGTTTCACGCCCTTCATCCCGCCTTCTTTTACCATCCGGATTGCGGATGTTAGTGCTTTTTCTGGGGTGGTTTCGTATGAGCCCATTGGTAGGTCTGCGATCTATTGCGAGTTGTGAGATGTGGTAATTTGGTCGGGCGTAGGCATTGGCATATGTATCATGTATGCATGTATGGATATACTTACTGTGAAGGCGCTCTTGACAGCACGGTTTACGCTGCGGCAGTGGAGGAGCATCTCGTCCATTGTTACTTCGTTTGTGTCTTCCATGCCCATTGCGACCATTGCGAGGCTGTCGCCTACGAGCACGATCTCCATTCCGGCTGTGTCCGCGACATGGCCGCTGGGGAAGTCGGATGCTGTAAGGACTGTGATGGGTTCGTTCTTTTTGTAGAGGTTTTGGATGGTTTGGATTGTTACTTTTTTGCGTGTGCTGGTGGTTGTTGAGCCCATTGGTGAGTGAGAGCTATATTGCGCGCATGTTTTAATTGGTGATTGGCGTGGAGGAACGGCTAGGTTTCTGAAGTGTAGTGCTGGGCGTCTCAGGCAATTGACCGGTTTTAGAGTCATTTTGAATTGAAGGACTTCGAACAGATCTCTGTAGAAGGGAAATGAGATCCGAATAGAAGAAAAAGACCTGAGATTGACGTTCTGGTGGATGCGGCGTACTTCGCAGTACTTGAACTATGGGGCCCAGTTGAACCTCGGCCATCTATGTATATGCCTCGCTTGTTGTGAACTCGTCTTTTCTCTATATATTTCTCTATTTGAGCGATATTATTTTACAGTGCGGTATCCTAAAATATTGGTTTTCTCCAATCCATAACTCATACCCACCTGGCCTAAAGCTTCGTAAGAAGTTGTTCATCAGTCTTCAGCCGAATAATAGAAGCAACAAAAGCCATTGCACCAGCATGGTCAATAGCCGTACAGTAACCTGTAATCCTCTTATTCTCCCCACCAGCAGCATCGAGGATAAATCTAGCAATGGGAGCCATATGTGACCAGGTCAATTAGGGTTGCGCGGCTAGACTTGGAAGAGGTATGAAACGGATATTTGACACCTGGACAGATCAGAAGGCTGGTTTGTTAATGGTCTGTTACGCGGAGGGTGGGGGTGTGAAGTAAGAGACTACACAGGCCATGTTCAAGCGATGAGGTGGAATATACATGTATTCACCAAGCAGGTCTATCAGATATAGGTATCAAAAAGGGTATGTATCTCCTTAAGAAGAAATCAAGTAGGAACCATGTCCATCGCAAAGAATCCGTTTCTACCCAGATCCAAAAGGGCCAATAAATAAGACCCATATCAATCAAATCAACCCACACGAATCAAGGGAATAGTGCTGAAAGAATATACCACAACAACAGGTTGTTCACGGTCAACGCCATGAAATACATCCAATATAGCCAGTGCTAAGTGACAAAAAGTACAGAGGGGAAAATGGGAAAATAAAAACATCAACATCATATTAACAGGTCAAATCGGGGTATATCAGATCAGACTCCAAGCCAGAGAGGAACAACTGAATCGATGCAAAAAGGTAGCAAAAGAGATGCCGTGCAAATCGAAGAGCAAATGAAACGTAGAAAGAAAAAATCACTCAATGTGTGGAATCACGTCCGAAGAATTGGCAACAGCGCTTTGAAGAGCGCTGGTCAAGTCTATATGGAAGAAAGGCCGGTTCATGCCCTGCACGAGCGCAACCTTAGGACGACGCTGGTACGCCTTGCTGTCTGTGATATCACGATGGAACTTGTCCTCGCGGATGACCTCGGAGCTCTCGGATGCGGTCTCGATGCCGTCAGTCTCACACGCAGTTGTGTTGGTATCGGACTTGAGGCCGGATTCGATATCCGTAGCCTTGTTGTGGGACTGGTTGGCAATCATTTCGGCGCAGGCAGCGGCAGAGGCGCTGCCTTCGATCTCGGCCACACTGAAAATGGGTTTCCACCGGTGGAAGCCGCCGTCACTAGCGACGGGTGTCGGGTAACCGAAGCCTGCGGCAGCCAGGCCGCGCTTTGTCCAGCGGTTGTTGATGTGTGCGAAATGCCATTGCACGGTGCGGGGGGAGGCGTACATATCTAGCTGATTGCGTACGTCGATCAGGTTCTGGATTGAGGTTACGTCGACATTGTTCACAGATGAGAAGTCCAGAATGACGGCTTGGAGAAGGGGCAAGTGTGAGTCGTCGTCGCTGCCTTCCTTGCCGCGGCGGGGACCAGCGTCGTTCCAGGGGCGCTCACCGCGAGTCCGGTAGGCGTGCGGGTTCGTTCGGCGGGTGTTCTTGAAGATGGTTGAAACCAGGGAATCGGTGTAGTGGTTGGCGTTAGGATAGTTGAAGCCTTCGGCAAAGCGGTAGATGAAGATACCAGGAAGGGGCTGCTCCACTTCGATATCCGGGTTGGAGCCATCAGTGTGGTTGATGGGAAGGAAGATAGTTCGGCGGTGGCGGTCTTCATCGTCGGAGGGAGTCTTGTTAGTTCCGAATGATCCGTACTTTCCATCGCCATCCAACAGGTGATCTCCGACAACGGAGTGGATAGTGACGCGGCCTAGGAACTGACCGCGGGCCTTGGCCACACGGAAGAGCAGAACCGCAACCGACACACAGACTGTGCAGTAGATGCCATTTTCAATGGAAGTGAACACAGTAACAAAGACACCAATGAAGAAAATAAGCGCATCAAGCGGAGACACGCGCCAGAACTGGTAAACGGTGTTCGGGGGAGTGATCAGATCGCCGACAGCGTGGATAATGACACCAGCCAGAGAAGCCTTAGGGATGTAGAAGAAGACAGCGGGCAGGGCATAGATAGCTAAGAGCACCACGATCGCGGTAATGACACCAGCAAGGGGTGTCCGCACTCCAGCTTTAGACTTGATAGCTGTTCGGGAGAAAGACCCAGTGGCGGGGTAACCGCCGAGGAAAGGTCCGAGAAGGTTACTCACACCAATGGCCACAAACTCTTGAGAAGGATCGATAGTGTAGTTGTTAACTCGGCCGAAGGACTTGGAAATGGCAATGTGCTCAATCAGAAGAACGATGACCGCAGCTGGAAGTTCGCCAGCGAAGGCTGAAATGATCTTACGATCCATAGTGGGCACGGCGGCCTGTTGGAATCCTCGAGGGACTGTCCCAAGGATCTTGAACGCTGGTTTATCCCTCCGGTGCAGGTTCGTGGCGGCACTAATCATAGTGTAGAACAAGATCACAAACACGGTCCGAAGAGTCGAGATAAAGAACCACATCTTGGCCTTAGCAGGCTGCTTTTTCGCGGCGTAAGTGCATCCTGAACGGATAATGTACAGCATTGCACAGGCAGTGACACCCATGGCAGCATCCAATGTCGAAGTGGGGAGGTATTTGAGGGTGTTGATAATGATCATGTAGGTGGCACCGCGCGTACTAAATTTGGCCGTCTCGCCCAACATGGTCGGAACCTGTCCGGAGCAAATGTTCAGAGCC